TTGCTAAGTGTTTGGAATAATGAAGCATCACTTCTAATAGTAATAACATTTAAATCCTCTTGTAAGTACTGTTAAGACTAGCTCCTCTCAAATTCTTCCTTTTACCTGTCCAGAGCTGTTTTGATATTGCATGCCAGAAAACTTTGTGACTTTTGAAAAACTGTTCTGTAGGTGAGATTATTAGCTTGTGTTGAAATTGCTCTGAAAGGAGTTTTCTGAGTACTATCTTAGCTACATCCACTCTGAAAATTATGCTGATCTGATTACCACCATGAGCTTCTAAATGATCATTGCTTAATCATTGCTTTGCTGAGCTATTCTTTGCCCAGTTATTACTCCAGGAAGGAATTCTGTGCATGTTCTTTCAACTGGTGGCAGGCCAAAAGAATGGAAGAGATTAAATGGGCCAGTGCCAAACGTTTAATCCAAAACACTGGTGCCTGGTCTGTTTCACCTCCGTATTCTGCTTTTGGTGTTGACTCTAGGCCAGCAGCAGCCCCCCAGTGGCCTTACCCACACATAACGTGAATTTCTGTTGCTTCTGCTGCCACCTGAGACAGGTAGTTGTCAACTGTGCTTGCTCTACTGTTACAGCCCTCACCAAAACACTTTTTTTTTTTTTCCTCTAGAGATTGAAAGGTTAGATTTATGATGCACTTTTTTTCCTTTGAAGGAAGCCTTGAAGATGCAAGGAAGTCAGATGCCCGTTTTATAGAGTTTCAACTCTCTTTAATTTTAGATCTACTCTTATTCTTCACATTTAAGTACAGCACAGTGAAACTAGACAGGTGTGGATCTGACCAGCACTCAAGTCCCAGCTGACTAGCAGAGGATGAGCAGTGGATTTTGTACATTCAAATGAAAACTCAGTCTATAGCCACTTGGGGGAAACCTTCTTTCCAGAGTGGATAAGAGTGCAGTATGCAGTCATGTGCTTAGCTGTCCCTTCTGTCTTTCTGTGCATTCTTTCTGTGTTCTCTCAAATGGTTGTTGATGTTTGTCCCAGGATGTGTGCACCTGTGATGGTGGAGTTGGAAGGAGAGACAGACCCGTTGCTGATTGCCATGAAAGAACTCAAGTAAGTCCCAGCCTTTGGCAGTGTATGTATTTTTTTTTTTTTTCTGTAAAGCAAGCAATCCTCTGCTTATCTCAGCACTTAGCAACTTATTCCATGCAGTATATTCCAAGACAACCTTCTTTTTCATCAACAACAGGGAATATAGCAGTTTACTTCCGCTTTCCCACCTTGAACCTTCTCTACAGCTGCTCACTCCCATCCCAGGAGTTCTTGTAAACTGCTAATGATGAGCAGTGCTCTGACCTCTTGTATATCAGTCATTTCTATGATGAGAACCCAAGATCCCCATAAGGAATCAATTTAATTCCCTGAAACGAATCAATTTGAAGCAGCCTTTTGAACAGACCTGTGTTCAAATGAATTGCTGGTTTAAATAAACAAAATTAGGGTCAGGTTGGTGATGTGGACACTCTGATAAGAATGTTGTTTCACTGCACCCTTCTATACTTGGCTTATTGTGCTAGCAGGAGACACACCTCTTGCCTACAGAGAGATTCATTTGAATCTGTCAGTTTCTGAATCACTACTTAGAGGCCCACAGCAGAGTGCCCTGTTGGCCCACAGTTTGCCAGTATGGTCAGCAGATTACTATGTCACAGGCAGGTATCCTTCAAGCAGATCACTTAATAAGTAAAGTTCCTGTTCTTGAATTGATTTGTTCCTTTGCTCAGTGCATTGCAGTTGCTCTTGCAGACTTTATATCTATTACAGCTCCCTTTATTGTTGCCAAAACCTCCATGGGTTGTGTTCCAGTCAGATCTCCAAGTTCAGCCTAAGTTCCTTCAGGTCACCATCTGAGTGTGTGCTCAAGAAAGCAGTCAGGTGTGACACAAAATACAGTGGCATCCTGTGCTGTGCCAGAATTAAACTATAATTCTTGGCATGAGGAGGCTGCTTTTGGAAAAACAGCAGCTCTGGATGTGATGGTTAAGGTGCTGTATTACTTTTCAGGTTTGATATGGTTGTGAACCTGATCCTCTGCTTAGATTCTAGACCATCTAATTATGTTTTGCTCTTAAATCTGCTTCCACTAAGTCAAACTGTATTCAGTGCTTGCTTGCTTTCTAATTGGAACTGCTGTTAGCAGATGCTGTGTTCCTGTAGGTCTTTGATTGTTTTGAGACTTAAGATGCTCAGTGCTTTGCACCTACAAGGGAGAATTTTGTTCAGTACTACATAGGTCTACTATGAGCTTACTGAAGTCAGCAATGCCATTGACTGCTGAAATGGCATAGTGAAGGCTGTGGCATTTCTATTCACCTCTCTCTCCTCCCTCCAGAGCACGCAAGATTCCTATCATCATCCGTCGTTACCTGCCTGATGGGAGCTATGAGGACTGGGGTGTGGATGAGCTAATTATCACAGACTGAACGACCTCTGGCCGTTGCTTTTGATTCTTTCCTTCTCCAGCAGATGTTTCTATTTTTGTTTATATTTGTATAAATAAATTATAAATTCTTTCTCCCGTGCTCCAGCTTGGTTGTTAACATTTCATTCCATGTCAGTCTGCATGGGCTCTATTTATTAATATTAGGGAGTCAAGTGCTATTCTTTCACTGCAGCCTTTTTTCCAACTGAGCAGCTCACATGTCTTATCTAGGGTAAAGTGTACAGTAACTGCCTCCACCACAGCTCCTCCCTGGTTATAGGACCAACAGCCAATTAAAGGACTGTTGTACAGAAGTGATCTTGCAGGTACTTTGGCTTCAGAAAGATTCCAGCCCTTCTTAAAACAGGAGTGCTGAGACACCTCCATTGCTTCTCCCTAGACAGTTGGGCCTTTGTGCCCTGAGCAGGTTGCTGTGGAAACCTCCAATTTCCTCTCTGGCCAGAGCTGGCTGTGGGTCTTCTCAGGAGTATCGCAGAGCAGCTCTCATCAAATCATCTATTGTTTCTCTGCTCCTGCTGCTTATCAGTGATGGGGATCCCCTTTCAGTGCACTGCCCCAGCCGGAAGCACAGTCGCCAGTGACAGTCCTACTAGCTCAGCAGTTGTAGGTTAAATTAGTGCTCTTGCCACTCATGCTGCTGTTCTCTGATGTGCAGTGGAGCTGATGGTCCTTGGTGCGTAGGTGCTCTCAAGGCATCTCACTTATATAAACACCAGAAGCTCTTACAGTGGCATGGCAATAGTTAAATTCTAGTCACTTTCTGTAATCTGTAGTGTGATGACAGATTGGTGATTTGTCCCATTAAGGTCCCTTCATTCTCACTTCTGATGTGCAAGGATAAGAAAAATGCAGCCCCTTGCTGAAATCAAAAAGTTAGGTGGATGCATTAAAATCTGGGAGGGCTTCCAGCCAGCTACTGCTTGGTTTTCATGCCTCAATCAGCTCAGCTCCTAAGTTCTTGCTCTGAGCTCTGGAGCAGAACATTCTCTCTCTGTAGCAGGTGATCTTATTAAAAAATGCACCTGTTGTTTGTGCTTTACATTGTTTTTCTCTTTGCAGAGCTACAGGGAGGATTTTTCCACCTAGTCTGTACTTATGTTTGAAGCATACATTCTTTGTGCTGTGTGTGTGGATCCATATCCCAATGGGAGTGTGAATGCACCTGCCTGGGAACTTAGCTCATGTAACCAGCCATGTATGTCATCCTCTTACTTCTCCCTGTAAGAACACCCTCCCATCCACCCTTCCTTTGTTAGTCTGTGCAGGGATGTGGTGTGCACAGGAGGGGGAGGCAAGAATGCAAAAGTTGAGTGGGTCCCTGGGCAAAAAGCTCAGAGGGGGAATATGGAGATGCCTGCAGGTGTGCAAAGGGGATTGACCCCAGGGAATGCAAGTGCTTCCTGATCCAGGCCATCCTTACTAAGAAAAGGTTAATTTGCAGCACTGTGGCCTTCAGCCTTCTCCCCCCACCCTCTGTGGAATCCTTTAATCACGTTGGTGTGGTGAAATTTCAGCCCTGAAATGGTGCCTTTGTGCAATCATTCTGGCGTCCGCCATGGAGCGCGGGGGTCGTTTTCTTGTCCTTTTTTTTTTTATTTTTAAATGGCTTCTTTGTTCCCTGCCCGCCTCCCCTCCCCAGCCTTGCATCTGTATCAGATACGATTAAAGGGATAGGAAAGGATGCTGGGCCAGCTCCTTCTAGGCTGCAGGAGGATTGGTTAACCCCTCTGTTACCAGCGGTGTTCTACTTGTGGGGGCACTCTTGGATGAGAGGAGGCATCCCTTTCCACTGGAGAATGGTTGATGTGGAGCCCTCTTGCTTTCTTTGTTTGAAGAACTGGAAAAGGGTACATGTGTATGGTTAAGTACTTCTACCAGTCTTCTCTTCACCTACACCGTGGTCTTTTTTCTACGCCTGTGATCAGCTCTCCTGCTCTAGCTCTGCCATGGCTCCCCTTATCCCCTCCACGTGAACCTGCTCAGCAGTGAAATAGTTCCCATCTGGACCTTTCCCACAGCCCACAATTTGGGGTAGAGATTTCTCCTCTCCATTGAGTGGTTACAGACCTATTTTGCATGGAATTATTTAGATTGGCATCACTGTTTTTTGATGTCATTAAGCCATTGGCCCTATAAGGACCTCATCCAAAGTGTGCTGAGTGCTCTGCATTTCCTAGATCTTCTGCTTATTCTACTCGCCTATTAAGTGTTCAGTAAACACAAACTCACAGAACAGATCATGCTTTTGCTTTGAAGCCTTGGGACCTATTTTTTAATTTTTGTGGAGTTTCTTTGTTCATTGTAATCCTATCTTGTTCCCATTGGCCTTGAGAGATGTTCCCAAGCAGGCCAATATCCCCTGCACGTATTCTTTCCTCAGCTCTTCAGAACTCCCAGGATCTGATGACCAACATGTTTTCTTCCAACAATAGGTTACATACCTCTATTCTCGACTGTACTCTGTATGTATTTATGTTCATACCTCTGGAAAACAAGAGGTGTTGAATTTCTAGAAATAAATGAATGGTTGCTTTCCAAAATACATCATTTTCTAGATGTGGGGACGGTTTTTGTGACTGCCTTATGGCAACATAGAGATGAGGAACTGAGAGGAGAAACTCCGCACTCATATTCTGTAGATAATTAATAATGAAGCTAAAGAAATTCTTGGGTGAAGCACATGCAAAGTAGTGCCCTTCTTCATGGCTTGGGCTGAGTTTTAGCTTAGGAACAGCAACGCATGGAAGAAATGGCTGGAGCTGGCTTATGAACTGGTGAGTTTCGTCTCCATGAAAGAGCACAGTAAGCCAGTCGGAGCTGTGGCTGCGTCCTCTGAATGACGGGCCAAGGAGAGCCATTCATGGGATCTGTGTGGTGGTGTGGTGACACGTGACAGATTTACTGGAGGGAAAAAATCAAGAGACTTCCAGGAAAGCGGTGAAGAAAAATCCAGAGACATGAAAATGAAACTTTTAAGTTTATTATTCCATATGTTTAATGCAGAGTTAATGGTGCTAGGACAGCATAAAGACTGGGGAAAGGGAGCAGGGGGAGGAAGGTGCTACTTGCATAAATAAGAGGACAGGGCTCAGATAGGTTACATGCGTACAGGGAACAAACATTCTATGTGATCTTTTCAGACACCACAAGGAGAAGTCATCCATAGCTAAGGGAGGTGGGAAGGACTGACATCATATCGACGGAGGGAAACAGTGACACGAACCACAGTCCACGTTCGGTCAAAGTATTTTATCTTTCTAGACTGAATTACCCGTTAGGAGGTTCCACAACGCATCTCTGTGATCAGTTGTCAGGAGTCACTTTTTCCTGCAGCAGCTTCTTGGCCAGTTCACTCCCTGGCAGGACACACCACCCAGTCCTGGAGGTGACAAAGGAGAATTAAGTACGCTGTCCTCAGGAGATGGGCTGAACAGAAGGTGTCGATCTGACTGCAAGAGCTGCTTGTTTCCAGCTTGAAACCCAGAGATGAAAATGAGTTCTGCACATAAATAGTGTTCTTTTCTTTGTAGTCATCCAATATTGGGTGCATATCTACCTTGCTTATATCCACAAGAGTATCTTTCCATCCTGAGCGAAAGTAGGAGGGAGGTGCTGACAGATTGCGATAATGTGATGAACAAATGAACAGTGATGTATACCCCATTGGCCTGAGTTTGGAGCAGTGTTCAAAGTGAGTATTGGATTATTGGAACTACATTTGGATGTTGGCAAGTGCATGGTAGCTTTCTTGGTACCGTCACGTTTTCAGCAGACGCAGTCAAATGCTGGAGGAGCAAGGACCTGGTTTGCTGAGAGATTGTTGGGATACTGAAGAGATTGGGAAGGACTGAGATGCCAGAAATCTGAGACACAAGTGAACGATAGAAATTAAATTGTAAGAAGAAAGGATTCACCCACAGCACCTGAATGATCCACAGATCCTTCCCCACCTCTCCTCGGCTCCTTACACAAACACGCATACACACATACAGGCTATGATATGAGAAAGGCTAAGGCTGACAGTGCGTTCCTGAATTCTCTGCACTGTTCAGTCAAGCCTTATAAAATCCATGCAGGAAGGAGTGTGGGATTAAACAGATAGGACAGAGGGAAGAGGTGGGGAGAAAAGCTATCGCGTGCAGCTGTGGAAATCAGCAGGGAAGCAAGCATAAGTTGGTCTTCCAGCAGGGATCAAGATTCATGCATGTGTGAATCTTAGGCAGGACTGCTGCACAACTCTGATGCAAGGAAGCCGGCCATGCCGTCCTCCCAACTCCTCCTCCCATGACATGTTCACCAAGGCTGAGCAAGCACCCTTCACCTGCAGCAGCTGACAAAGAGTTGGCCATGGTGGCCTTTTGGAGACACTTGCTAATTTGCTGGAGGAGGTTGGGGAGGGGAAGGAAAGGACAGTCTCTCTCCTCTTACAGTCCAGGGTGCGCACAACGAAGCCCACCACGGACCCGTCACTCCATGTCTTGAGTCTTCCTCATCTAGAAGGCCAATAAGGTGTTGCAAGCCAGTTGTGTGGCCTGCGTGAAATCGGTACAGGGCGAAAGGACGAAAAACCTTCCTGTAGGCGGGTGAGCCAGCGATAGCCGGGGTCAAGAAAGGCACTTCCAGATACTCAGTGGGTTCTGGTGGCTGGATGGTGGCACTGAGTGACCTCGGAGTTCGGAGGCTCTTCTGCCTGTGCGGATTCTTCGGAGCCTTTCCGTCGCTGCTTTGGTCACTGTTCCCCATTCCCTAGGGTCTAGAGAGAGTCGTATACACAGGCTGTTCCCAATGTGTGGGACTATGAGACTGTGGCACAGAGGGTGTGGGGTCAGAGATGGCAGTGTAAAGAGGACGTTGGGAAGGTCCCATATAGGAGAAGGCAGAGTAGAGGCCGGAGGCTTGGCTGGAGTGGCTGTAGTAGGGTCCCGAGGGCTGGTGATCAGGATAGTCAAACTGAGGCCTGGAGATGGAGGGGAAGGCCGAACCATAGTGGGGCAGACTCAGGGATGTGTAAGCTATCTGGGAGGTGGAAGGTTGATCGGTGTAATGACCTCCAGGGGCAGACCCCTCCGTTTTCACCTGGGCCTTGGAGTCCACCACTGGTGATGTGGTGGCGGACAAGGAGACTCCATGCTGCTTGGAGATCCAGGCTGAGTGTCCACTGGCCGCAGCCAGGGCGCTCCCAAGGCCATAGCCAGCAGCTGCTGCGTAGCCCCCAACATGGCCTGGGTGGCCGGCGTGTCCGTTGGGTGGCAGGTATTGGTCGAATTCGTTGACATCAAAGGTCTCCATGTTGGACATCACTTCATGGCTGATCTCCCCGATGTCCACATTGCCAAAGTCAATGTGTGGCTTTCCCCCTTCCCCTAGGGAACGCCCTTCTCGCTTGGAGTCAGCTTTGCCTGCCTGCAGCTCGGTCTTAGGGGTGGTGGGAGGAGTGGGAGGGCCGTGGCTCTGACCTGTGGTGTGAAAAACATTTTGAGGAGGAAAGAAAGACAAGAAGTGAGTTACTGCTTTACCCCTGGACAGCAGCACACATCAACATTGCTCCTCCCAGTAATCCATGATAAGTAAGGAATGATATCCAACCTGGCCAGAGGAATGCACGTGCTCTGGAAACAAGGGCCTGTCACTATACCACTGACTCCAACAGTGTTTGTTGGGTCACGAGCAATGTGAGACATATCCCTGAGGTGATGGCTTGTTTTCCTGAGCTTCCCAGATTGTTGTCACCTACCAATTTGTTCATGGAGCCATGGGACTCACCTGAAGAGTGCTCCGGGTGCCCATCGGACATGGGTGATCCTTCCCCAGGATGCCTGTGGTCCAGGTGGGTGTTCTTGTAGTGAGCCTGGATAGCAGCAGCCCCGCCAGCCTCCCCCTCCACCTGGCCCTCTCCCTCGCCTTGCGTGGCCTTGCCATTTTTCCGCCTCCGTGGCTGGTATTTGTAGTCGGGGTGGTCCTTCTTGTGCTGCATCCTCAGCCGCTCCGCCTCTTCAATAAAGGGACGCTTATCGCTTTCGTTCAGCAGCCTGCAGGGCCAAAATGGTAAAAAACAGGGGAAGGAGAGGGGCAGGAACATCAGAAGAAGAATCGCAATATCCCAATTAAGCTCAACAACCTCAGTTATCTTGTAGTTTCAACCCCAAAGGAAAATGTATGGCTCTACTGAGCACAAATGACAGTGATTGGTGTTAGCAGCTGTAGGCTGAAGCACAAATATCCAGCTCTTCTTACTGCAAAAAAACAAATTCTTTGTCACTAGACCTTGTAGAAATAGATGAACCATGGTCTCTGGATAAAAGATGTACAAATGTGAGGTCCTTCTCTGTTCTCCTGCCTGATCATGAGCTGCTGTGGGTAAGATAGGATCTCCAAAGAAACCATGCAACATGTGGGCAGGATAGCTCAGAGAAACCAACTTCATTGCTCAAGGCTCTAACAGATTTCCACTTAGAAACCCTTGAGTTTAATTTTACCATTTTCCCCTCAAATATTCTTGTGACTCAAAGTCATCCTGCTTCTGATCAGAGAGCAGTGCTCTCAAAAGAAACCCGTCTCATTGTACTACTGCTGGGCACACAAATGGCAAAATATTTCACATTTATGTGATGCCCATCCCTTTTTCCTCCCAACAAAAGAATTGCCTGGGGATGGGGATGAGCCGGCATCTTGGTACCCCTTAAGCCTTTAGCTTTAAACATAACTTATTCTGCTCAAATGAAAGCATTGTCATAGATAGAAAGGCCTGGATTGATCTGAAAAACTGAAGGTAAGAGAGGAGGAGCATGCAAGTAGAGCTGCGGAGGATTAAAGGTTTCACCAGCCAGTGACTGGTTTTTGAGCACCTTCTGCCCATCAGTCAGAAGGTGTGTGGCAAGTCTGCAGCCCATTACTGCTGACCTGGGTTCACTCCAGGCAGCCTGAGAAGGTCATGGCCGCACACTAAATTCCTCCACCTCCTTAATCCTGCAGCTTAAAGCAACTGAGCCACCGTGAATCCAGCACCAGCTTTTCTGTTTCCCTCCCACCACTCTACACCGTGCTCACAGCTCCAAGAGGGCTCTAATCACTCTGCCAGTGCTGCTCCAATCTGCCCTCCATGGTGTCTAAAGGACAGCCTGTCCAAGGCATCAAGGCCTGGGAGGCAACGTCACCTCATCCTTGAAAACAACCCTTTTCCGTGGGAGATGAAGAAGGGACAGTCTGGTTGGATATCAGGAAAAGGTTCTTCACCAGAAGGTGATCAGGCCCTGGAACAGGCTCCTCTGGGCAATGCTCACAGCACCAATCTTACTGGAGTACAAGAAGTGTCTGGACAATGCTCTCAGACGTATGGTCTAATTTTTGGGTGATCCTGTGTGGAGCCAGCAGTTGGACTCGATAGTCCTTTATGGGTCCCTTCCAACGTGGGGTATTCTATGATTCTATGAAAGGAGCTAGTGGAGGCAAACTGCACCCTTATAACACTTCTCTACATGGCAGCTGGGCTCAGGCTTCTCTACACTCCCCACACAGATAGTGCTAAAACTAATAAGATGGCAGGAAATTGAAGGTCTCATTTTACATAGGTACCTCTTGGAGGAAGAGGTTGGATGTTGGACAGAGGAGATGAGCAGTGGAGACCAAAGCTCAGCCTTGCATATCTGCCTCCTGGAAAAAGAGTCACTTGAGTCTGCACAGAAGCCATCTCCCTGCCCTCTGTTGGTGCCTGGACTCCTCACCTCCTCTCTTCTGGCCAGCAGCCTGCTGGCAGTGCCGCCAGCGGGACAGCGGGAAGTCTACTCCCTGTTCCTTTGTCTTCTTCCCCAGCCTGCCTGCTCCCTCCTCCCTCTCACTGGGATCAGAGCTCAAATCGGCTTTAGCAAAGTGAAACTGGTGCGAGCAGGCAAAGGCCAGGAGATTTGGGGGATTTGGATTTCACTCGTTTCCTGCCCTCCCCCTCTGCCCCCCATACTCCCCCATCGACAATGCAAAGGAATCTCGCATGGGCAGAGAACATATGGATCACGGAGCAAAGCCTTCATGGGGCTTAACACAGCCACCTCCACTGAGCCTGACACCAAGCACTCACCCCTGTGGCACCCCACTTTGGGAGGAAAAAGAGGAGCCAAAGTCTTCCCTCCCGCCTTTCCCATCTTTCCCTTCCACCACTTGGCATCACGCCGGGCTGCCACAGCCTGACCCCATCCCAGGGCTCAGCTGCCGATGAGTCAGGGCGGTGGGGATGGGATCTTCTGGTGCTCAGCCAGGGATGGTTGGTCCTACACGTCCACAGCCCTGGAGCTCATGGGCATGACCCCATCCCTGGCTCTTTGCCTTGGTGAGGTGCAGGAAATGAGGGAGCTGCCACTCCCATACAAAGATCTCTTCATAGGCTCTCTGTGCCGCTCCCTGCAGCCCCACTTTACCCCTTCTTCCCAACTCCTGTCTGGTTTTGGCTTCAGAGTTGTTGCTGGCTGGTGCGTTGGCTTAGAGTCACATCACACCGACATTTTCAGCAGCTTGCCTCCATTTGAGAGCTGCTCTCAACCTGCCCTGGGGAAGGAAGGCAGCCAAGACGAGCTTTCCTCAAGCATGGAAACCCTCCCTTCTCCTCCTCCTCTCCTTCCCCTCACCCTCCATTTTAGCACATTCGCTTCTTGATCCCCATTCTTTGCATCCTAAGTGGGCAGACTGAGGAAGGTGAATGGGACCATAACTCCTTCCCCTTCAACCTCCTCAGGGAACGTTTGTCCACACAGTAGGGATGTGGCAAGCATAGTACTAGGATACTGGACCAGTCTTTAAGAGGATTTTCCAGGCTCTGCCATCCCTACCAATCCCCGATTGCTTGGCACTTGGCTTAAAGGTCTGCAGGCAGTCTCCATGCTCACCAGCTCTCATTCCCTGCACTGCTAATGCAGCCCCTAATTGTATAAGCTCACAGCAGCCTATGTGGAAGTAGAATTTGTCACTCACACTGATTCACAAACAGTATACCTTCAGTGCACAAGGAACCTAACTGGAGAGCAACCCAACTGCATTATGGCTGAAAATCTTGGCTCAGGGCTGCAGCCCTGGTAACCTTCAGGACAGATTCCTTGGATTTTGGTTGGCTGATTCTTGTCCCTAGCCCCACAGAAGGGCACACGTGTGCCATCCTGGCAAGCTCAGATGCCAGCCCTGTGGCTGTACCCATAACCCAGTCAGTACAGTCTCGTATGATCTGGCACAGCTTGGAGAGCTGCATTTGCCCTAGCAGCAAAGACATGGGAAGGAGTTGTGTCCCAGTAAGGGAAAAATATCTTGAAATAACACTTTGGGAGTAAAACAGAGTGGATTTGGACAGCACCAGAAGGTGCTGGGAAGCAGAGAAATGGGGGCGAAGTGTGAAGAATGTGATCGGTTCATAAAGAAACAAATGGAAGAGGACACCAAGGTGTGGCTGGGTGGGGATGGCTGTCCCTGCTGGGGACAACAGATGCTGGGAGGGATAGACGAAACCAGTGGGCTACCAGAGTGAAGGGGAAAGAGTAGTCCAGGCCTGAGAGCTACGGGTCCAACCTTCACTTGAGGTCAGAGGCTGTTGGCAGAGCCCAAGGATGAAGTGAAAGAGCATCAGAGGAGGTGTTTACTTTTGACTACCTAAAGAAATCCCCTTGCTTGAGTTATAGAACACATTGGTGGGCTGGGGTAAACAAGTGTATGCAGCACAGGGAGAAAATGATGCCTAAGGGCCCAGTTCTCTCTTGTGAACCAGGAGGTTTGGAGTCAGGAGGAGACCTGCTGGCCAGGGCATGTTTTGGAAAAATGTCTCGTGGCCCATCTTCCTCTCATATAGTGTTATCAGGGCAGAAAAGGGAATGAGAGAGTCCCTTCACATTGGGCTGACAGCCATGATGTTTGTTAGTTGGTGCAAGAGAAGGGGGTGACACTGGGGGGGGGGCTAGCAGCAGAAAGTTTAACAGGTTGATGGCATTACTGTTATAGACATCCTCATGAGGACAAAGTGGCTTAGCCATCACGGCACTCATGAGCCACAATATAACAGGGTCTCTCCTTGCCTATCTCTCCCCTCTGATGGCCTCATTGCACTTGCACAGCCTGCCAATACCAGGACCACCTTGGAAAGGATGGGAGGGGGGATCAGATGGGAGACCATCCTCCTTGGCACTGCTCAGAAGTTTCCCCTGCTGGCATGTGACTCAAGGTCAAATGGTCCTGGGGCAGTCACAGGTGAATTATGGTTGATAGGGCTCAGATCAGATTCTGTTCATGCATAATTTTGCCCAGCAGAGGGTGAGCCAAGGAGACAAGATCTTCCCTGACCATCAAGTACAAGAGGACCAGGATAAGTGTCGTGATCAGAAACAACAGGGAAAATCAGAGGGAAACAGGTGAAAAAGAAAAGTGTGAGCTCCACTTGGGATGGAGGTGAGCTCTGCTGAGGAAGCTTTCACTACATATACAGGGTATAGAACTCTTCCCCATTCTCCTAGCTGCTGGCTGTGCCTCCTGTGGGCGTCTTCCAGTAAGGAAGCAGTGGCACAAGAGACAACCCCTCCACCCTCCCCATCTCCATCTTTCCTCCTTATCACCAGGACACCCTCACACACCCATTCTTACCTCCAGAGCTTCCCCAAGGTCTTACTGAGCTCAGCATTGTGGAGGTGCGGATACTGGTCAGCCAATTTCCTCCGGGCAGCCTGCGCCCAGACCATGAAGGCGTTCATGGGCCTCTTGACGTGGGGTTTGCTCTTGTTACTTCCATTGACTCTAACAGGCATGGGTACCAGGGTCCAGTCATAGCCGCTCAGCACCTGGCTGACTGCCTCACGGATGCAGACAGGGAACTTGTCGTCATCCGCCTCCGAGTCTTGCTGCTCCTTCTTGACCTTGCCCATCTCCCCATTTCCAGAGCCGGTGAGGTGCGGAGAGTTGTCCGACGCCATGGATGGTCCCGGCGAGAGGCAGTGGTGGTCTTCAGAACCCACTGGGCTCATCTCCACCTCCGACAGGTCTTGGTCATCAGCCATGGTCACTTCTTTCTTCTCACTGGGGAGGGAAGGGAGGAAGAGAAAAACAAAGGAAAGAAAGGAAAAAAGAAGAAGGAAAATAGAGAAAAGGAAAAGCAACCACCAAATCCGACTGGGACTCCACACTCCGAAGAGCAGACCACGAGACAGGGGCTGCTTGATAAAAGCGCAAGCAAAGCAATAGCCGTGCACACCGCAAAACCCGTGATCGATGGGGGTGGGGATGGGTCAGGGCCCTGATCCTTTGGGAGCTCTTATCTCTGCAAATGTCCTAAACTGGCATGTGCAGAGGGGATGGTGGCAGCTGCCCAGCTGTGCCAAGGAATCATAGAATCACAGAATCATTAAGGTTGGAGTAACCACTAAGATCATCTAGTCCAACCGTCAACCCATGCCCAACCGCTCCAGACCATGCAGGATAGGGGGTTCTAGGGACCCCACAGAAGGGAGCATAGAGCATCCTGCCTGCTTGCAGATCTCCATGGGGGATATACCAAAGGGACAGATCTCCCATCTCCTAGCCACCTCCAGAGCCCCAGGAGAAGTAGGAGAAAGTGCCAGCGTGACGCGCCAGTGCTTGCTGCTCTTGGAGCAAAGACCTAAATCACATCTGTTTCGTGTCTCCAAAAGCATCCTTGTATATGTATATGTATATGTACATCTAAGTATGTGTATACATATACATATGCACCTACATATCCAGATGCAAACACACACATAGTTCAACTTAAAGAGAAGCCCAGGATCTGAGCTGCCTGCCCTGTGCACCCCTCCTCTCTCACTGTCTGCAGTCACCTCTGTAAGTCCCTGCCACAGCATCGCTGTCCCCTAATTTGAAAAAAAAAAAAAGCTCTAAAAATAAAGCCCCCCCATCCCCACAATATCTCTCCCCTAGACAGAAGTTAAAAGGAGGAAAGAAAGAAAGAAAGAAAAAATAGGAAGTTACAAAAAAGCACGCCTCTTGTTTAGCTGCAAAAGTCAATGCGGAGCAAAAGCTGCTGTCATTCCACTTTCAAGGGATGACATGAATCTTCGCTGAGGAAACTGAAAAAGTGGCAGAAAGTACAAAAAATAAATGTGCATGCCAGTGAGCTCAGGTAGGAAAACTTACGTTGCTGGCTGGTGCAGGCAGCAAACCCTGTGAAGGCTGCAGCTCTTGTCCCAGTGCCCCCCTGTTCTCCCTCCGGCTGTGGGGCGTGCTGCCGGGGAGGTGCTCAGGCAAGTGCCATTCCTGGAGGGAGGCTTGGTTTTTACTAATGCCCCGGCTGGATGCCTCTTGCTGGCTTTGCTGCTTAGCACCGGGGGAGGGAAGGGTGGAAGGTGGAGCCAAGCATTGCTCAGAGTCAGGACACAGTCAGGGCTGGTGGGGAGGGGATGCTGCAGCCCCCCACCCCAACTCAGCATTCACTGCTTTCCCCCAGTGGGGATAGAGAGCTCAACCCCTGGGGACTGGAGTTGCTGGGCACAGGGAAGGATGTGAAGTGGTGCAACCCAGGGCTGGGCTCCCCTTCCTTACCCCCGCTACCATTGACACGCTTGCAGTATCCACATTCCAAATATGTCCCTGATCCCCATCATGGAGGCCGGTGAGGACCCCAGTGCACTGCAACAATCCGGCCTAGGATAATGGGGTAAAAGTACTGCAAAAAGAGCCTCCTGAGTGTGGAGAAGGGCATGCAAGAGGTCAGGAGCATGCTGAGGATGGAGGACATTAGGTCCAGAAGAGCACTCTGCAGAGCAGGTCATGCCAGCTTGAACCTACTTGGGACTCTTGCACCCTAAAGATGGGGTCCTCACAACATCTCCATCTCTCTGGGCTCTCACCAAGATGACCAGGCTGAACTTCCTTGGCTGTGTTGAATTGCTCCTGAAGGCAAATATGAGGTGTTTTCAAATATGAGGACTATCTCATAGTCATTTACTCCTTGCTGCTCATGCACTGGAACACATACAGGTTCTAATCACACAACAGGTTACAGAATGTTCCCACCAATTCTTCCTTTTTCTAGCTTGCTTTCCTTCCCAGATGCGTGTGGTTGTTGGCTTCTTCACTTTCCCTTCTCACTGGGGATGATGAAGAGCAGTGCCAATCCTGTAACCACGAGAGATCACCCATGAAATTCTGACAATCTCCCCAGATCCTCCTGAGTCAGCAAGGAGATAGATCTAGCTGCTGCCCCAGCTCTTTGCTGGAGAGTCAACCTGAAAGTGAGAAGCAAGAAAATGCAAGGTGAATGACTGTGACCCAGGTAACAAAGTTCAAAGGATTTCAAGAATATTTTCAGCTTTTGTAGCAGATCTTCACTCTCCAGAATCTTTATGGTAGAAATAATAATGCTGCCCAGGGAGGTGGTGAAGTCACCGTCCCTTGAGATGTTCCAGAACTGTGTGGATGTGACACAAAGGATATGGTTGGTGAACATGGTGGGGATGGGCTAACAGTTGGACTAGGTGATCTTAGAGGTCTTTTCCAACCTTCATGATTCCATGATTCATTGTAATACCCCACAAAAACCCTGGCTGGCATTATCTGAAAGATAAGGGAAGCAGTCCGAAGGATGGTGCTGAACATCTGAGCTAACAGACTCAGAATCCAGCATCAGTGCCATGCTTCCTTGACCAAAGCAGCAGCTGGTGAGCTACAAGCCTTACAGAATGGGACAATCTCTCCCACCAAGAGAGATCCCAGCTTCCAAGCCAGATGATGTCTATGGCCCACTGGATGCAGAATCAAGGAAGCCACCAAGTTCATGGCATCTACAGGGCAAATGAGCCTCTGCTTAACTCCAGCAAGATAGCAAGCGGTAGAGTTCAGGTTTTCCTCCATGTCACCAGGGTCTAGGTGAGCAGAAGAATGTCTGATCCTCCAACTCCCAACTGTGGCAAAAAAGAGTGAACCAGGAAGGGACTTCAGTAACTGATAGGGAACTGAACCACTGTTGGTCCCACTGCTCTCTGTCCTCACCAGGGACAGGAGATCTTACATCCCTGGTTTGATGTACAAGACCTTTTTTGAATTCTCTTTCATCCATGATTCATCTCTTTCCTTGTGCTATGAAAACAGAGACACAGGAAAGCAAGCTGTAGCAGAACATATCTCTACAGCAGTGGAAAGAGGTGTGATGATTCTGTTCAGCTGAGGCAAAAAGACACAAAAGAGGAAGAGGAAGGGGAAGGGAAGGGGAAGAGGAGAGGAAGGGGAGGGGAGGGGAGGGGAGGGAATGGGAGAGGAGAGGAGAGGAGAGGAGAGGAGAGGAGAGGAGAGGAGAGGAGAGGAGATCTCTTGTTTCAGGAATCACAGGGCTGGCATGGCTTCATCAATTTAAGGCTTCCTTTTGACTGGATCTGGGAAGTTCTCATATAGCAGGTTTCATTCCCTTAGTTTAAACTTATATTACTGTGTGGGTGAGGTGCTCTAAGTATTGGGTAGCCCATAAAAAGAGACAGTCTTTTGCAGATGAAGGATCTAACAGAGAAGGGAGTTAGTTCACCAGCTGGAGACTTTTCTACAACAGATTTCCTGTGTCACCTTGGATAAATCTATTATTTGTGCTTCAGTCCCTGAAATGCAAAGGTTGGAGGGTGCCACTTTTTCACCCAAAAGGCATGTCAGGAGGGTAACAGACAAAACTGAGGAAGGGGATTTGTGCTACCACTGTAGGTGTTTCTGCATCCAGGCTGGATGCATGAAGCATCATAACAAGAGCAGGATCCAGCTCAGTAGGGTCTCAATGTGAAGACCATGTTGGTGGGACATCAAGGACAACCTCGACTCTAGTTTTCTAGGGAGGAACGTTGCTGGATGATTGCACCCATGGGAAAGGACTAAGAGGTGAGAGTCTGTCTACAGGAAAGAAGCGAGGAGAAACAAAAATAATAGCTTGGAGAAGGAAAAAAGGCCAGAGGATGTCCACTGGGAAGTTTTGGTGTCCGCTCTCAGCCACTGGTGGGTGAGGGACCCCAAAAACCTGGCATGGTTGCACCCCAGCAAGCTTCCCATCTGTGAGACAGGGCCAGCTTTTGTCCTGTGCCCAGCCTGGGGGCACAGCACTGGTATTGTCCCAAGACTGCCTGGGAAAATGGGAGGGGTTCCCCATGAAACCTTTCCATAGAGCAAAACAGCGTCAGAGCTGGGAATGGGGGGGTCAGGGCAGACACCAGAAAAAACACACACACAACGGGCAAACAATACCGGCAGTGTGCTGAGGGAAAGGGAGACCCATGAATTGGGAGTTTGATAAGGATTTTCTCCCGCGCGCACCCGCTCTCTCAACAGCCCCTTCAGTTTTCCTGGCACCCCCCTCCTTCCCCTTGCCTGCTTGCTTGTTTGGGCCTCAAACAGTGCGCTGCCTTTGTTCGGGATACAGGTGAACGGCCATCATGTGATTCACGCACACGCGCGCGCGCACATAAAAAGGTTTTTCAGAGCGCCCAGCTCGCCTCAGACCCGAGGACGGGAGAGGAGACCTGGGCTGGGAGCAGCAGGGAGAGCACCCTGTGCCATGGAGGTGGGCGCATGGGGTATGTGGGTCTTGGGGTCAGGGTGGGGGTCCGGGGGTCTTGTTCTTCCAACCTGCTGTAGGCATGGGTTGGCATCTGGTGTGGAGTAGAGAGGGGGTGCCAAAGCTGAGCACTCATCCCTCCCCGGCTTCTGTGTGGGATGAGCATCCTCACTGGCATCCTCACTAAGAGTGAGGCTTACTGGTCCCATTGTGGATGGAGGGGGGAGGCAGGTGGTGAGGAGGATGGAGGGTGGAAGACAGAGGATGGAGAGTGGAAGATGGAGGATGGGGAATGGAGGATGGAAGGTGGGTGGAGGGTGGAGAATGGAAGATGAAGGGTTGAGGGTGAAAGATGGAGGATGGAGAAAGGAAGGTAGAGGGCGGAGGATGGAGGATGGAGGAAACCCCCCTGCTGGAAATATGTGTCTTCAGCACCTTGAAGTCATGCTATCAGGAGATCTAAATGTATTTACTCCATCCCCTCACTCAGGAGGGAGAAAGAAAGGAGAGAATGACTAGACAATCCAATGGTGGGAAGGTAGAGGATGTGGGGGATGGTTGGCACCTGCTGGAAATCCCCGTGCCCCAGCCAGAAATAGTGTGTCCAACCTCCTCAATGAGCATTGCACATCCCCTTTGATGTGGAAGTGTCATGAGGCCCTCTCACACCTCATCACCATGACCATGAAATAGATGGGAAGCCACATGGCTCAGTCCTGTGGTGAAAGTGGAGGCTGGGAAGGGCGAGTTTCTGGCAGTACTGGACAATCTGAGCCATCCAGAGAGGAAGGCGTTAGAACAGGAAAAAATGGCAAGGTTTCAACTGGTTACTCTTCTAATTCAAAGGTTGCCTGAGTGTGATGCTCAAGAGGAAAGCAGAGAGGAGCAAAGACAGAGGCCAACATTTCATGATGATGCTCAGAAAATATATGGGTCTGTGGCTGGTCTCACTCGTGAGACATCATGGGACTTGATTTATGGCAGCCTGGATGAGATCAGGACCTTATGTTTGCTGAGGCTCCAAAGACCAGCCTCATCTCTGCCACTTCCTTGTGCCTAACTCTCAAATGCCTCCCTAACCTAATGTCACTGAGCAAATAGTGTGAAGGTAGATTCAAAGGCCTTTCCATAAATAGGAGAAGCAGAGGGACCCTATATCCCATGCTTCATGATGCTGCAGCAGCTGTGATTTTCTGTTGCAGGGGACAAAGGAGTATGAAAGTCACCCTGAATTTGATCAACCACCATTATCAGCACAAACAGAAAGTCCTTCAATTTGCTTTGTGCCCTAAGAGTCTTCACAACTGGGATCTGGACACGGGAACCATAGCTGGGCCCTGGTCTTCATCACACCTCATCGATTTTGGCTGAAGCTCCCAGTACTGGTCCTAGACCTTCCCAGCTGACTCTTGGCTCTCGCCATCAGGAGACTCAGTGAGGCAGCCCAAAGAGGAAGGAGATGGCATGGGTCATGCAGAAAAATCAGAGAGCTGACTGCAACCCATTCTGGGTTTGGCAGCACTGCACCAGGAGGCACATCCATGTGGCTGCAGGACAGTTTGCTGTGTTCCCCACCGCTGGGGAGCCAAAGGAACACGGAGTTGATCATTGCATGGCAGGGTTGTTTTTTTGCTCCCTCTCTTAGATCCAGTGTCCTGCATGGGTGGTAGCTGCCTTCCTACAAAGTTATTGACAAGGGGTGGGTGATGCCAATGGCATGTAGCCCTGTTTTTCATCACCCCAAGATGAGAGTTCTAGGGAAGCTTTCCTAAATCTCAACCTTGGGGGTGCAGGAACCCTCTTGGAAAGCAGAGAGGGCAAGCACCTCAGAGCATTGCAAAGATACCAGGCAGCTCCTGGCCCAGCATCTGATACAATTCTTCATGAACATGGGAAGAATTGGTAATGGTAATGCTCTGCAAGTCCTCATTGTCCCTCGGACAATTTCCTGCATTACCAAGGCTTGGAAAGATCAAAGAGTAGCAAGGCCTGGCAGGTCTGTCAGCTACCTGCTTTGATGGGTGGCAGGTTATTAACCCCCTCACCTCCTAACCAAGAGGCCAGGTGTAATTCCAAAAAGCAAATACTAAAAAGCATGTATTGAAGGAATGAGGAGATGGGGGAGAACACTTTGTTTTCTTAGGTAGAGTCTTCCACGTTCAGCATGATACAATGGAGGGAACTGAGTGCTCTTTGACTGCGTGACCAAGGAGGGATGCCCGGGGGCAGAAGAAAGGAAATGAGTACTCCTAAATACGCGTGGGCAGAATGACCAGAAAAGGAGACTTTCTCAAGGGGTCCTTTGGTCGTAACAGTGCTGGGTGACACTGATGGACTCATACAGTGGAGGCCAAGGTAGCTCTGGGAAGACTTTCAGCTCCAACAACCCAGTGGCAGCAGGGAAGCTCCTGGGAAGCCAGGGGAAGGGTTAAATCAGGAAGGCTTCAGCCCGCTGCCTTGGCCCCTGTAATTCCTCCAGAGAGTAGGACTGGGAGAACAAGGAGCCCATTCTGTTCGCAGGAATTAATAGCAAGGAGTCATCTGGGGTGTCATTCAAGCCCTGATCAGCTCCCGGAGGAATGTGAGGGAGAGTGAGCGACGGAGCACGGCCCCAGGCCGAGGCACCAAAACCAGGGCAGGAGCATTTGGGCTGGTAACCAGAGCTACCAGCCGGCATTTGAGTGGCGGGACCCCAACCTTTGCATCCCCTCTGCCCCCTGAGCTCATACAAAGGGCTCCCACCAGCTCCTAGATTGGGGACTGGTTTCCAGTTCTTTTGTCCCTTGTTCCCCATCCATTTCATGAGAGGAAAGATGTCTCAGCCCACCAGCACCATTGTATCCCCTGCACCATGCCATGAGGCCATCAGAAGGGATGGGTTTTGTCTTTCCAAGCAAGCTTGGCCAGGAAGAGGGTCTCCAAGGAGCCCATAAGCACATCTAGGGATGTGGGTAGCTCAGGGGACTGTAGAGTTCAGTGCTTTGCCACCATATCATTTCTCCCAAAGTGACCGTGGTCACTGCAACAAAAGGCCAAGCCTGCAAATTAGCATGTCCATGTTTCATTGTTTTGCTCCACAGTCACAAAGAGAGGCTTGAAAGCACTGCATAGTGACAGAGCAGCATTGCCTGTGATGGAAACCTGCTTCCACAAGGCTAGGAGAGATTTTGGCCACCTCTATCCTGGCCTCAGAAGGGAGTCTCAAGGTGGCCAACCTGCCACCTCTCTCCCCGGCTGCGCTACAAGTTCACACCTGCTGGCACAAGGTGTCCCAAGGCTCCAGTGATACACCCAGGTTGACCCTTCAGGGCCACCATATGTCTGATGGGGTCTGCAGGGCAATCCTTCAGGCTAGTCCTAGGCAGGACAAAACATGAGTTCAGCTCATCAGCATGGCATTGAGCACATGTCGGGTAGAAGATGACCCATGTAGAATGGGAACAGAGCTGCACCGGAGTGCACAAGTTGCTTTTATTGGCACACAGTAGCCAAAATGCAACCCACTAAAGCTTTCCTTCCTTTCCATGTGCCTCAGGTTGCTGTGAAAATGGATTTAAGTAATAGCATCTCAGCATCCTACAGGAGATGTGCGGTGCCTCTGGGATGGACTTCTCTGCCCCCTCTCTATTCCCCGTGCCACCACTGCCACAATAAGGACCCCTTGTCGTA